TCATCTGCAATCCTGCTCTCTGTCTCTAATTCTCACAATAACAACCCTGCCATACACTACTTGGTATACTCGGTAAACTTTTTTTTTTTTTTTTTTTTTTTTTTTTTTTTAACACATCGGCTATTCCCCACCGAGGCAGGGTGACCCAAAAAGAAAGAAAAACTTTCATCATCATTCAACGCTTTCACCATCACTCATACATAATCATTGTCTTTGCAGAGGTGCTCAGATACGACAGTTTAGATGTCCCTCTAAGCTGCCAGTATCCCAAACCCCTCCTTCCAAGTTCAGGCATCGTACTTCTCATTTTCAGGACTCAAATCCGGCTAACTTGTTTCTCCGAATCCCATCACATCCCTGCTCACACTCCAACAGCCCGTCAGGTCCCAAAAACCATTCATCTCCATTTACTCCTATCTAACACGCTCATGCACATTTGCTGGAAATCCAAACCCCTCACCTACAAAGCCTCCTTTACCCCCTCCCTCAAAAATTTTTAAGGATGACCCCTACCCTACCTTCCTTTCCCTACAGATTTATATGCTCTCCAAGTCATTCTACTGTGTTCCATTCTCTCTGAATGACCAAACCACATCAACAACCCCTCTGCAGCCCTCTGACTAATACTTTTAATAACTCAACACCACCTAATTTCTACACTCTGAATTCTCTACATAATATTTACACCACACATTGCCCTTAGACATGACATCTCCACTGTCTCCAGCCTCCTCCTCACTGCAGCATTTACAACCCATGCTTCACACCCATTTAAGAATGTTGGTACCACTAGACTCTTTTTCATTCTCTTCTTTGCCTCCATGGATAACATTTTTTTATCTCTACAGATACGTACCTCAACACACCACTCTTTTTTTTTTTCTTCATCAGTTTTATGGTTAACCTCATCCTTCATAAACCCATCAACTGACAAGTCCTCTCCCAAATCTCTGAACACGTTCACTTCTTCAATACCCCCTCCCTCCAGTGTGATACAGTAGACCGTCATTTAACACGGTAGTTACATTCCTGAAAACTCCGTGTTAGACAAATTGAAGAACTTATAGGAAAAATAGGGTTAAGTTTCTGGAAGTCCCCAAAAAGCCAAACAACTTTATTTTTTTAGACCTTCAGATCTTACAAAATAAAAGTGAATATGTAATTGTAGTACATTGTCGTGATATATTACTGCTTAAGGCTACAAATGCAATAGAAATAATAGTATTTCTTACCTTAACCCCTTGACTGTCGCAACCCCCAATCCTGAAGTGTCTCCTGGTGTCGCAAAATTTAAAAAAAAAAATTATTTTTTCTTATGAAATGATAGATAATCTTTTCCCGATTGTAATGACACCATAAACACGAAATTTGATGGAAAAGTGACGGAATTACGCTCTCGAAAAGTTAGCGACCTCGGCGATATTTACAAATCGGCGATTTCGCCCACTTTTAGTCTTATTTTCGGTTAATTCCGTTGTTGCAGTCGACCAAACTCATAGCTATTTCTTTAGAACTCCATTTTTTTTATCGATTGAGTACAAGAAACTGCACATTTACCAATTTCAACTACCCAATAACGTGGTCAGAAATTTGCAATTTGGCCAATTTCACGAAAATTAAAAAATATGGCAATTTCAAAATAAGGTCCAGAATGAACAATGCAGACATTCCTGGCTCTAAAATAACATTTTCTTTGTTCATCAGTCACGTCTCCAGGCCCCTCTGATATTACTCTTGCTTTCTATTTTGAATTTTTATTCAAACAAAAAATAGAAGATTTACTGTTAGGCAGACTACTGTAATAACTGTATAAATAACATGAACCCATTCATGACTGCATATTAGAATGGCTAGTTGGACATTTATTGGACAATGACATCATTTGTTTACTTTTGAACATCAGCAAAAATCAAACATTTCCCCTACTTTGAGCTCCATTTCCAGGTTCTTTTTATAGTAAAATCAGTAAAAATCACCTCTATTTCTATAATATGTTTTCAATTCTATCAAATGAGACCAAGAAACCAAGAATACAACCATAATACTATACGAAAATAGACCACAAAGTCAACATTTTAATTAAAAAAAACGGTCGGAGTTTTTTTTTCTCATTATGCACTGCATGCTCCAGGATTTTTTTATGTGGTGCACACTGACCACACACACCCATTCTCTCACATGTGGGCCTACCAGCTTTCTCCTGCTTTATTTGAAACCGCTAGAATTTATGAGTATATAAACATCAAACACGATACCTCGTAAGACGTATATATACGACCTCGACAGTCAAAGGGTTAAATTGTGGGTGATGGTGTTTGTGGATGATTATGAAGAGAGTGGATATGGATGGTGTGGCCCCTATTGGGCTGAGGTGGATTGTTGTTGGTTATTGGCAGAAGTGAATGGTAGTGGTTATGGTACTGAAATCAATGGTTGTATTGGTGTGTGCATAAATTGTGTAATGGATCTCTGGGCTCTTTTAACCCTGCAGTACATTATACAGCTGACAGTAAGGCATCATCAGCTGGTTTAGAGCCCATTTCAAAGCACTGCTTCTAGATTTGTCAGGGTCCTCCTCGGTGAAAAAGTCTGCAACTTAACCAATTATATGGAACTGCTTACGTAACTGTTGCAGTGTTAGCTGTTTTTCTTCAGGTACTTCTTCATCTTCTGTTATCTGGCTCCCTTCTATCTGTGCATCGAGCTCTGCCAACATTTCCTCTGGACTCCTGTCTTCATCATCATCTCTAAGAGCTCATTCACTTCTTCATTCATATCTTCAAAACCATCACCTGATGCTCTACTTACCAGCTGAACAATTTCCTGAACCTGATTCTACAGCAAAGGAAAACCAGTGAAAGAATTAATTACAGAAGGTCATAACTTTCCATGCTGAATCAAAGATGTAATCCACAGACCATCCCGCCCGGCGGGAAACTGTGAGCTCAAATTTTTTCCCCTCCTGCAACCATGTTAAACTAATTTTGCGAAGTGTTAAACAAAAATATGCCGCAATTCTTCAATCGTGCTATAACCAAAAAGTGCAAGACAAAATCGTGTTAAATGATGGTCTACTGTGTCCGATAATTTTTCTTTATCTAAATTGTTTGATACCTTCATCCTCTTTGTTCACTTTCAATTTTCTTCCTTTACACACCCTCCCAAACTTGTCCACTAACCTTTGCAACTTTTCTTAAAAATCTCCCAAAAGCTAGGTATCATCAGCAAAAAGTAACTGTGTGAACTCCCCTTTTCTATTTGATTCCCCATAATTTAATCCCACCCCTCTCCCCAACATCCTAGCATTTACTTCTTTTACAACCCCATCTACAAATATGTTAAACAACCATGGTGACATTACACATCCCTGTCTAAGACCTACTTTTACTGGGAAGTAATCTCCCTCTCTCCTACACATCCTAACCTGAGCCTCACTATCCTCATAAAACCTCTTTACAGCATTTAGTAACTTACTACTTATTCCATACACTTGCAACATCTGCTACATTGCTCCCCTATCCACTCTATCATATGCCTTTTCTAAATCCATAAATGCAATGAAAACTTCCCTACCTTTATCTAAATACTGTTTGAATATATGCTTTAATGTAAACACTTGAGCTACACATCCCCTACCCATTCTAAAGCCTCCTTGTTCATCTGCAATGTTGCTCTCCATCATACCTCTAAGTCTTTCAATAATAGCCTTACCATTCACTTTACCTGGTATACTCAGTAAACTTCTTTCTTTTCAGCACACCGGCCGTATCCCACCGAGGCGGGGTGGCCCAAAAAGAAAAATGAAAGTTTCTCCCTTTACATTTAGTAATGTATACAGGAGAAGGGGTTACTAGTCCCTTGCTCCTGGCATTTTAGTTGCCTCTTACAACATGCATGGCTTAGGGAGGAAGAATTCTGTTCCACTTCCCCATGGAGGTAAGAGGAAATAAACAAGAACAAGAACTAGTAAGAAAATAGAAAAAAGCCAGAGCGGTGTGTATATATACGCTTGTACGTGTATGTGTAGTGTGACCTAAGTGTAAATAGAAGTAGCAAGACATTCCTGGAACGTTGCATGTTTGAGACAGAAAAATGGACACCAGCAATCTTACCATCATGTAAAACAATTACAGGCTTTCGTTTTACACTCACTTGACAGGACGGTAGTACCTCCCTGGGCGGTTGCTGTCTACTGACTTACTACCTAGACTCAGTAAACTTATTTCCATATAATTTTTACCCTCTTTTGTCCCCCTTCTCTTTTTACACGGAAACTATACACACACTGCTAATCCTGAGGTACCTTTCCCTCCTTCATACATTTATTGAACAAAAGTACCAACCACTCCAAAACTGTATCCCCAGCTGCTTTTAACATTTATGTCATGATCCCATCAGTTCCAGCTGCTTTACGCCCTTTCTTTCTGCCCAGTGCCCCATGCACCTCCCCCACACTCACATTTGGCCTTTCTTCACTCCACCTTGGCCAGTGCATGAAATTACTGCCTCCCTCTTGTCATCAGCATTTAACAGTTCCTCACAGTATTCCCACCATTTTCCCAATACCTCCAACTCCCCATCTACTACTTCCCTATTCTGTTTTTAACTGTCAAATCCATTTGTTTCATAGGCTTTCTTAACCTATTTATTTCACTCCAAATTTTTTTCTTATTCTTAGCAAAATTTATTAACAGCACCTCACCTACTCTATCATTTGCTCTCCTTTTTCACTCCCTTGCCACTCTCTCCACCTGTCTTTTACTCCTCATATACTCCACCCTTCTTATATCACTTCCATGTATATAGAGCCAAATAGTAAACAAAGATTTCTGAGAAATCTGATTTTGGAGATTTTGGTGCTTCACTGGATCATTAATATACACACATTATTGATCCTCCACCATCAAGATAAGACATATTTTCCCAATTAAAATTGCTGTTATTCAGAAAATTCAGAATGTTGGTTATTCCATATTCAGAATTTTATTTTCATTTTTCAGAATGGCCCTTGCAGAGACATTCAGTGCAAACTGTGGTATTCTTGCACTAGATGAACCAACTACCAATCTAGACCGTGAAAACATTGATGCTTTATCATATGCATTGCTCAGGTATGTTTGTTACTTTGAAGCATTTATAGCTTTCTTAAATGTCCACAATTTTACAGAATATATTGTTTCCTTTTTGTCTGTTATATTAGTAAACCCTTGGCTTTATGGCCATCAGAAAGAGGGACAAAATCTGATAGGTCATTTAATTCAGAAACAATGAACAGTCTGTTGGTTGCAGAATTTTCTGTTATTGTTATGATCAGGGCAAAACACGTCTCTATCCACCTCAGTTGCCATATCTGGTCACCTGCTTTCCCTTTAAATCAAGGGTTTACTGTACTAAATTTTCATAGATTCCTTTACAAATTTATTCACCTTTTCAGAATTACTTAAGAAGTTTTGAATCATGTGTGATACTGTAGTTTTAGAATAGCTCTTATTTTATTAAGACATCGTGATGGAGGTTTTAAGTAGGAGGGGCTTGAGCTTCTAGCAGGTTTGCATGACTGTGTTAGATCGGAGTGAATTGAGACAAGTAGTTTTTAGGGCTTAATGTGCTTTTGGAGTTTGAGGTTGGTAATATTAATGAAGGGATACAGAAAGCCTGATAAGCCAGACTTAAGTCCTGGAAGTGGGAAGCATAGTACCTGCTCTCTGAAGGAGAGAGAGAGAGAGAGAGAGGTTACAGTTTGAAGGGGCTCATTTGAATTATGTATGTGCACGACTGCAAACACAACTATTGAATGAATGATGGTGAACATTTTCTTTTTTTTTTTGATCACCCCCGTCCTTGGTGGGAGATAGTCGATGTGGTAAAAAACAATACTTTTTAGGTTTAAGAATTCTGGAATTGTATCAATCTGCTTGTGAAGAAAAAAATTTGATGTTGTCATTCAGGCATTTAGGTAGTAGGTTGGTAGACAGCAACCACCCAGGGAGGTACTGCCGTTCTGCCAGGTGGCTGTGAAACAGAAACCTGTAACTGTTTTACATGATAGTAGGATTGCTGGTGTCTCTTTTCTGTCTCATAAAAATGCTGGATAACAGGTGTATCTTGCTACTTCTACTTACACTTAGGTCACACTACACAGGCAAGCACATGCATATATATATACATCACACATCTAGGGTTTTTCTTCTTTTTTCTTAATAGCACTTGTTCTTTTTTTTTCTCTGTATCTATTGTCCATGGAGAAGTGGAAAAGAATCTTTCTTCCGTAAGCCATGCATGCTGTATGAGGCGACTAGAATGCCGGGAGCAATGGGCTGGTAACCCCTTCTCCTGTACACATTTACTAAAAATCAGAAGAAAAACTTCATAAAACTGGGATGCTTGAATGTGTGTGGAGGTAGTGCAGATGATAAGAAAGAGATGATTGCTGATGTTATGAAAGAAAAGAAGTTGGCCCTAAGCAAAACAAAACTGAAGGGACTAGGTGAGTTTCAGTGGGGAGACATAACGGGATTAAGTCAGGAGTAGCTGAGAGAGTTAGAGCAAAGGAAGGGGTAGCAATAAAGTTGAAGGACCAGTTATGGAAGGAGAAGAGGGAATATAAATGTGTAAATTGAAGGATTATGTGGATTAAAATAAGGGTCGGATGTGAAAAGTGGGTCATAATAAGCGTGTATGCACCTGCAGAAGAGGAGTGGAGAGGAGAGAGAGATTTTGGGAGATGTTAAGCGAATGTATAGCAACCTTTGAACCAAGCGAGAGAGTAATTGTGGTAGGGGACCTGAATGCTAAAGTAGGAGAAACATTTTAAAAAGAGAGTGTGGTAGGTGAATTTGGGGTGCCAGGTGTAAATGATAATGATAAAGAGGATAAATAAATATACAAGATATGATGTAGGGCATAATGACAGTAGTTTGTTGGACTATGTATCGGTAGATAAAAGATTGTTGAGTAGACTTCAGGATGTACATGTTTATTGGGGGGCCCACAGATATATCAGATCACTTTCTAGTTGTAGCTATAGTGAGAGTAAAAGGTAGATGGGATACAAGGAAAATAGAAGCAGCAAGTAATAGAGAGGTGAAGGTGTATAAACTAAAAGAGGAGGCAGTTAGGGTAAGATATAAACAACTATTGGAGGATAGATGGGCTAGTGAGAGTATAGGCATTGGAGTCAAAGATGTATGGGGTAGGTTTAAGAATGTAGTGTTAGTGTTCAGCAGAAGTTTGTGGTTACAGGAAAGTGGGTGCAGGAGGGAAGAAGAGTGATTGGTGGAATGATGATGTAAAGAGAGTAGTAAGGGAGAAAAATATAGCATATGAGAGGCTTTTGCAAAGTAGAAGTGATACAAGGAGGGAAGAGTATATGGAGAGATAAAGAGAGGTTAAGAGAGTGGTGAAGCAATGTAAAAAGAGAGCAAATGAGAAAGTGGGTGAGATGTTATCAACAAATTTTTTTTGAATATAAGAAAAAGTTTTGGAGTGAGATTAATAAGTTGAGAAAGCCTGAGGAACAAATGGATTTGACAGTTAAAAATAGGAGAGGAGAGTTATTAAATGAAGAGTTAGAGGTATCGGGAAGATGGAGGGAATATTTTGAGGAATTGTAATGTTAATGAAGATAGGGAAGCTGTGATTTCGTGAATAGGGCAAGGAGGAATAACATCTTGCAGGAGTGAGGAAGAGCCAGTTGTGAGTGTGGGGAAAGTTTTGAGGCAGTGGGTAGAATGAAAGGGGGTAAGGCAGCTGGGATTGATGGGATAAAGATAGATGTTAAAAGCAGGAGGGGATATAGTTTTGGAGTGGTTGGTGCTATTATTTAATAAATGTATGGAAGAGGGTAAGGTACCTAGGGATTGGCAGAGAGCATGCATAGTTCCTTTGTATAAAGGCAAAGGGGATATAAAAGAGAGCAAAAATTATAGGGGAAGAAGTCTGTTGAGTATACCTGGTAAAGTGTATGGTAGAGTTATTATTGAAAGAATTAAGAGTAAAACAGAGTAGGATAGCAGATGAACAAGGAGGCTTTAGGAAAGTAAGGGGGTGTGTAGACCAAGTGTTTACAGTGAAATATATAGGTGAACAGTATTTAGATAAGGGTAAAGAGGTTTTTGTGGCATTTATGCATTTAGAAAAGGCATATGACAGGGTGGATAGGGGGGCAGTGTGGCAGATGTTGCAGGTGTATGGTATAGGAGGTAGGTTTCTGAAAGCAGTGAAGCATTTTTACGAGGATAGTGAGGCCCATGTTAGAGTATGTAGGAGAGAGGGAGATTATTTCCCAGTAAATGTAGGCCTTAGACAAGGATGTGTGATGTCACCATGGTTGTTCAATATATTTATAGATGGGGTTGTAAGAGAAGTGAATGGTTGGGTTTTGGCAAGACGTGTGGAGTTAAAAGATAAAGAATCAAACACAAAGTGGGAGTTGTCACAGTTGCTCTTTGCTGATGACACAGTGCTTTTGGGAGATTCTGAGAAGTTGCAGAGGTTGGTGGATGAATTTGGTAGGGTATGTAAAAGAAGAAAATTAAAAGTGAATATAGGAAAGAGTAAGGTTATGAGGATAAAAAGATAAGGTGACGAAAGACTGGATATCAGATTGGAGGGAGAGAGTATGGAGAAGGTGAATGTATTCACATAAGGAGTCTGTGGAGACAAAGAACTTTGTCCTTGGAAGCAAAAAGGGGAATGTACAAGAGTATAGTTGTACCAACACTCTTGTATGGGTGTGAAGCATGGGTGATGAATGTTGCAATGAGGAGAAGGCTGGAGGCAGTGGAGATGTCATGTGTGAGGGCTATGTGTGGTGTGAATATAATGCAGAGAATTCGTTGTTCGGGAATTAGGAAAAGGTGCAGGATTACCAAAACTATTATCCAGAGGGCTGACGAGGGATTATTGAGGTGGTTCAGACATGTAGAGAGAATGGAACAAAACAATGACTTCAAGAGTGTATAAATCTGTAGTGGAGGGAAGGCAGGGTAGGGGTCAGCCTAGGAATGGTTGGAGGAAGGGGGTAAAGGAGGTTTTGTGTGCGAGGGGCTTGGACTTCCAGCAGGCGTACATGAGCGTATTTGATAGGAGTGAATGGAGACAAATGGTTTTTAATAGTTGACGTGCCATTGGAGTGTGAGCAAAGTAACAATTATGATGGGATTCAGGGAAACCGGCAGGCCGGACTTGAGTCCTGGAGATGGGAAGTACAGTGTCTACACTCTGAAGGAGGGGTGTTAATGTTGCAGTTTTGTAACTGTAGTGTAAAGCACCCCTCTGGCAAGACAGTGATGGAGTGAATGATGATGAAAGTTTTTCTTTTTCGGGCCACCCTGCTTTGGTGAGAATCGGCCGATGTATTAATAAAAAAATAATTCAGGCAATGCATTTTAGGTCAACTTACAGTTGTGTTCTCATGTTCTTCCTGCTAATAGCGATATGAAACCTTTATGTACTTTCCCTGTATATATGTATATACCAAAGAAGTTTTTTTTATGTCTTTTCTCCATGACTTAATTTTTAGTGTGGCATAGTTATGTAGGTTACCTCTAAACTTTTTCAGTCATCTCAAAAAAAAAAAAAGTTTAAAGTATGAAGAGTGCAATACTGCTGCATTATTCCAATTTTGGTCTAATATAAGTTGTGGTTTTTTAAAGCATTTTGATTCTTTACCCTTTGACTGTCGCAAGCCCCTTTCTGAAACTGTCGTTCTATGTCGCAAAACTTTTGGGAAAAAAAAAATTATTTTTTCTTATGAAATGATAGAGAATCTTTTCCCAATGGTAATGACACCAAAAGTACGAAATTTGGTCGAAAACTTGCCGAATTATGCCCCTGCGAAGTTAGTGGTCTCGGTGACATATATGCATCGGCAATTTCACAGACTTTGAACCCTGTTTTTGGCCAATTCCGTTGTTCCATTTGACCAAACTCATAGCTATTTCTTTAGAACTCTATTTTTTCCATCATTTGAGTACAAGAAACCGCCCATTTACCGAGTTGAACTACCCAATAAAGTGGTCAGAAATTGGTAATTTGGTCAATTTCTTGCAAATTAAAAAAGATGCCAATTTCAAAATAGGGTCCAGAATAAACAATGTAGACATTCTTGGCACTAAAATAACATATCCTCTGTTCATTAGTCACATCTCTAGGCCCCTCTTATATTACTATTGCTTTCTATTTTGATTTTTTTTCATTCAAAAAATACAAAATTTACTGTTATACAGACTACTGCATTATTGTAAAAATGGTATGAATAATATCAGTGCACTAGTGAAAGAATG